AGAATGGAAGGAGACATATGATCTAGTGCCTGTGCCAACACCTAGCCTGAGGACCTTCAGACTCACAAAACCTCTGTGTTCCATTTCCTCTCTAGGAAAATGGGTAAAACCATACCCATCCTGCTTACCACAAAAAGCCAGTGAGGTACAGTGGATTAAAAATTATAAACTACTTTAAGAATGAGTTATTATGAAAACAATGTCTTTAAAAGGAACAATTATTGTGCTCAAGGGTTTATAAACTGCAACTGCCGGCCAAATGTAGCCTGTTTCCTGTTGTTGCAAATAAAGCTTTATTGGAACGCAGCCTCACTCACTCCTTTATGTATTGTCTATTACTTCTCTTACACTACAATGACAGAGTTCAGTAGTTGCAACAGAGATGCTATGTCCCACAAAGGGGAAAGTATTTGCTATCCAAAACTGTATAGAAAAATGTTTTTCTGACCCATCTTATCAAGAAATGTTTCGTTCTCAAGTAAACAAGTTTACTGTCCCACAAAAAGTACAGTGGCTTAAGATGGCATATTTCACAACATAGCCCATATGCTTAACAGAAGATCTTCAATTAATAATAATGGTTATATTAATAACATAAGAAATTTATTACACAAGTTATCTGCTATGTAAATCCATTACTGTGAATAGAATAGTGCTCAGAATTATTTTAAATTCAATTCTTAAAAAAAGAATTAGATCAGAGTAAAGATTTATTTCTGGTATGTATTTTAAGGGGAAAAAAAATCAGTATTACATTATCCCTATTGTGTCTCACAGCAGTGAGGGCGACCAAGCCACCCAGAGTTGTCAGTGCCAAATAATTGTGGGAGCTCAAATATTAATCAAAATGACATCTCCAATTTTTTCCCTTCCTAATCAGGCCTAAACATCATGGGACATCCGGCAAATCAATAAGCAAAACTGGATGCCCTCATCACTTCCAACCTGGCAGCACTTCATTTTTAGCCAGAAGACAAGGGCACTCAGTACTAGAGAAAGACTGCCTTCCTTTAGTTGTTTGCCTTTTCCGTGAAGTGAGTGTACCCACCTATGATTCCGAGCTTTACTCTGGCATGCATCTGACTGTGCCACCCATCATAGAAAGAAACATCCCTTACCATTTCGGGACAAAATGGGCATGGAGGTACATGACTTTAGAATATACTTTGTGTAATCTACCAAAGAGACACGCAAGTAAAGTAAGACTAGGCTGTTATAAACTATTTGTGAAAAACTGAAGAGAGGCCTCACATCTTATCCTCCACTCCCTATATCCCACAGTCCCTCCTCGAACTTCCACCAAGGCAAATTTTTGGCAAGATGAGATTTAATTACTTTTGGCAAATTATTTTTGCCTTCCTGTGTCTTTTCTTTCTAGACTGCTTTCCCCAAAACTCTTATCCCATTGACTCCTCCTATTTTCTCTCTATGGGCTCTGGAGTTGCTCTAGAAAGATCTGATAAATAACTTCACGTCAATGTATTCCTCCTTCATTTATTTAGAGAAGACAGAGTGCTGGAGAAATGAAACTAGGAATCTGTTTATACATGGAACTACGTTTAAACCCTGTAGAGAAAATAGCTATAAGCAAAGCTAAAGCTAAGGAAGGCCCAGGAAAAAATCAATTGGAGTAGAAAATACACAGACTTTCACCTGAGGAGGTGAGATATACCTGTGAACTCCAGAAACCCCAGCAGAGACTTGCAGCAGAAAGCTAAGGACATGCTTGCACTTGGGCAACCATGGTCTGAGAGAACCCACAAATGACCAATGTTAAGGTAAACCCACTCATACTCAATCTACTGAGACACAAGAACATTGGGGTAGTTCACTCACTAATTCATTCATTTATCATCCATTCATTTATTCATGTATCAAACCATCCATGAACGGGGACATCTTATACCTTCATAGAACTCTTTTCAGCCTTTATTAGCTGGTATTTTTCCTCCTTTATGAAAACTTTATGAAAACATAAATGGATTGTTCATAAAACTTTATGAAAACAATCTGATCCCAGATTGTTCCACATTTATAGGAAAAGGATAAAACAGAAATTAAGTACAGTAAATATGATAGACACATCTTAGCTGAAATCCAGCTTGGAAAATAAAAAGTTGTTCTTTAAGTTTTAAGCACAATTGGAATTGTGGAGATTAAAGGCAACCTACAATAAAGCCAAGGTCAAACACAACACTAAAAGCAACAGCATAAATTTATTCAAAAGGAATGAGTGTGATGCAGAAAGTTGGGCCATCAGGGTGCTGTGGGGCTCAAATGAGGTGGTGAGTGGGATGATGCTTTGAAAAAGTGAAGTTACATCACAAATGTGAAGGCGTTGGTAGAATTATTAATATTATTACCAGCTATAACTTCCATCTTAGGTTGAGTTGCTGTTTTTTTAAACTATTCATGGAGATAACAGATAAATAGCCTCGCTTAGGACAAATACTCTATAAGTTAATTTGGCACTAAACATAAACAAATTATTTGATATGAGAATTCTAAAAGAAACTTTTTATAGAAAATAATATAAATGACCAGCTATAGGAAGCTCTTGAAGTATAGTATGTCCATAATGTCCACTCATTCAATTATTATACATGTGACAAATGTGACAGCCCACCCCATCCTCTCCTACTCTTCTGTGTTCTGCTTTGTGCACAGGGATGCTGGTGCCTAGAACTGAACGGCCTTCCCTCTCACTTCCAATTGGATTAAACTAGTGGAGGTGACTGCAGAAGGACAAAAAAGGCAATTTCTTCCAACTCTCTGCTTCAGTCCCACATCTCTGGCAGGAGCTGTTTCTCTTCCATGACTTCTCAGGAAGTGACCATTCCTCCTCTGTTTCATGTCTCACTGGATTCCAGTAACACTGTTTTCTCCTCTTGCTTTGAAAGAGCTTCCTGATGCTGCCAGTGCCTGGGTGCTTGGGGCCTTCCCACCCATTCCTTGTGTTCCCTGATCCCTACCCACACCTCTATAAGTAGTCTTTTTATTAAAGTCTCTTCATTAGACTAATCTGGGTTGAATTCAGTTTCCTCCCAGGACTGTGATTGAAATATAATATTGACATCTATTTATTGACATGGAAAGATGTCTGACAGAAAGTAGAGCAAAATATTAACAGCACTTATTAGGTGGTGGGATGAGATTATTTGTTTATTTTTGTTTATTTTTCAAATGTTTTGTAACATTGGATTATGTATTGGGGGAATATACAAAAGAAATAATAAAATTAAAATACATAAAGAAAATAAATATAATCTCAAGATGGACTAATGGTTCAGCTTTCCTCCTTTACTTCTTATCTTATCAAAAAATACATGAATAAAAAGTTGCATAGCCTGAAGGTATCCTGACAAAGCAAAGAGACCATGAACACTTGTAAGTGCCCAGATATTTCTCTATTTTTGCTGGATTCTATTATCTATGAAAAATATGTTAACAATTATAAAAGCAATTGCACATATTTATAAGTATATGTTATTTACAAGTTCAGATTTCACAAGCAGAAGTAACGATTTTGTGGCATTCTTTGATAATGACAATAATAATTAGCTATTACTAAGGGCTGACCACCTACAGGCATTGTTTACAAGCGTTGTAGGTATAAGCTCATTTAAATTTGACAGGAAGGCACTATTATTATCATAATTTTATATCTTTTTTTATTTTAAAGATGTGGGGTACAATTCAGGATTAAGTATACAAGTAAGTGGTCATCGTATAGGTGAAGTTTGGGCCTCCTTTGGAAGGCAGCATTATTATCTTGTTTCACAGATGAGGAGATTGACCAGCAGAGAAGCAAAGTAATTTGCTCAAGGTCATACAGCTCTTCACTCACAGGTTCTGGAGGTAAGCACAGGCTTTAGAGCCTCTTTTATGTATTATAGTCAACCACTACTCAGACCAATAGATTACCTAAAAATTCTAAACCTCACCTATTTTGTGTGTATTGTGAAAAGAAAAACCAGCAGTTTCAAACCGGTTCACTACTTTTCAGCTGTGCAGTCTTATACATTTACATATCAGATCTGCAAATTTATCATCAGTAAAATGGTGAATAATACTTCTCCCACCTACCCCAGAAACTGTGAAAGTCTAATGGGAAAATGAGCAGGAAATCCCATCAAAGCCATTAAATGAGTTATAAATATAAGGCTGTATTATGTGGCATCCTGTAAACACTAGTACATTAGTCATCATCACTTACACAGACAGTGAAATGTAAAGAAAACAATTATTTTTGGAGAAGTATGGCTCTAAACTATATCATTATAAACTATCCAGTCTGTTAATAACATCCAACATAAAACCACCACTGATTAATCAATAAAAATCATGCAATAGTTTCAGTGAAATGTACTCTCAAGTGAACTCCCCTGACTCACATGCATTAATTAACTCACCTTATTTGATATGGTCCAAGCATTTTCTGAAATATATTGTCCTCTATCTTTAGTTATGTAGTAAAACTTTTAAAAAAACTTTACAGTCCAAATTCTACATTCTCTATCCTTTGATATGAAAAGTTCAATTGAGCCACTCAGTTTTCAGTTTCCCTGACTCGACTTTTTGGAGTTTTATAATTAATTATATTCCATTATTACTGATCATCAATTAGTTCAAAATGTTGCTGAGATGGTGAGCATGCTGAAGAAGGCAGAATTTAATGATAATTTGAGACCAGTAAGACACTAAATTTCTCTCTTGTTAATAATTAAAGTAGATAACTTATGTTTTTATTTATAGCTTCCAGAAATATCCGGCTTATTCCTGTGCACTGCCCTGTCAGCTAATCATCAGTTGGTCAGGATCTGACTTAGGTCATTGTGTTTTATTTTCCACACGCTTTTAACCAAAGTCATTAAATGCAGCCCAACCAAAGGTTAAAGCAAGTGAGTTCGTCACCATTCTTCTTTGAAACTTTCCATCTGGCCAAATCCTTGTATAGCATAAATATATAAAGGATGAAAAGGGGTAAAATGCCAACTTACCTGTTTCAATTTCCCAGATGTAGACTGAATCATCTGCACATGCAACAATTAAAAAATTCTCAACTGGGTGCCATTTTATCATCCTCACAGGAAAAAGGTGCTTCCGGGCACGCAGGAGGCACCTCTTCCCCTCAAGGTGAAGCAGAGCCACAGAATGGTCACTGCACACACAGCAAATAATCTGATCACCCCTTAGCTGTGGAAAGAAAAAAAAAGTGCTTGTGTAAGTAAATAACCAAATGGTTTTTTATGATTAAATCAGATTTTTCCCCTAGCAACATAAAAAAGTTTTATTAAAGCCCCATTTACAAAAGGACATTTCTGCTTTCTACAGCACCTCTCCACATAAACACTCCACAGAAGAGCTTTAAACACTGAGCAGAGTTTAAACTCAACAACTTATCAGGAAGGTCAAGATATACAAGCAAAAAGGAGAATTCCAGGACAGATCTACTTAAAAGATAAATGAAGGACTTGACCATCACTCAGCAAATTCAGACAGTGAGGCAGACATAGGAAACAATACAGAATAAAATAAACCCCAGGACTAATTTGTTGCCACAAAAATAAGCTATTTGTAGACACAAGCTTAGGTCCAAGGGTATCACGACTGATATTTTCCACTTATAGCCTCAAATTGTGTTTTGGTGCGTTCTCCAAACTATACATATTCTAATCCAAAGAGGAAATCCAGTGTAGACACAACCTAAAAGAAGTAAGCATTATTAGATAGTTCCAACTGAATATATAGCCTCAGAGACACGAGGATCAAAATAGGCTCATAGGACAACAATCCTTAAGACACTTTTTCAAAAGTCAGTATGTGTTTACCCTGAATAGTTTAGGACAATAACCATGTATGCTGGGTGCTAATGATCTAGCTAGAATTTTAGTTGCTGTGTTTATTTTAAAGTACCAGTTGAGATCCCTTAAGATTCCCAGAACTCATTATTATTCACTCTGTGGGGGCATTAGGGTACATGTTTTGTTTTCTAATTCATTTTAAGTAGGCTACACAAATCCCGAGGGAAGAGGAAAAAAATCACAAAATGGCAAGCATAATAGATCTGGAACCTAGACTTGTAGAATGGATCATATGGCACTTCTTCCTCTGCCTCTTGGAGTCCCTGCCCATCCCACAGCTTCTAGAATGGGCAGCTCAATGTGCTTCAGGAAACTTATATAAGCATACACACATATGCCATGTGAACACAAACCTTATGGCCAGAGAGGACATAGACTAGTGATCCACGGTAGGCCAAATTCTGCTTTCTAGATTTAAAATTATAAAGCTAAAAGACTTCATAGGAAGAAGCAAGAAAAGGAAGCAATCACAGAAAAACAGAATCTTTTGAGGTAGGAGACCTTGGTTTCTGAAATTATAGTTCAAATTCCACTGAGACCTTGCTGCAGTGTTTTGTTTTGGATGTCTGAAGGATCGCCTCTCTACTCTTTTAACAAACTCCCTTTTTATTTGACTTGGTATAAATGGTCCTTGGAGTGAAATAATCTGTGACTGAAGTAAAAGGGGTCAGAACTGGAAATGACTTGGACTGCTGTTCTGGAACTAAAAGAAGAAGAAGAAGAAGAGGAGGAAGAGGAAGAGGATGAGGAGGAGGAGGGGAAGGGGAAGGGGAAGAGAAGAAGGAGGAGGAGAGCCCTAGGAATAAAAGGTAGATCAAGGCATTCCAAATTACAAAACAGAAGTTAAAAAAAAATCACTTAACTTTGTTTCCTGTTTTGTGTAATCATTTGTGTTGCTGAAATTTTGCTTTCATTATGTCTTACTACAAAAATATGGTGTAAATTTTCTCCTGGTTTAATCTGGAGCTAATTTTTAGAATAATATTATAGAGAAATAATGTTTATAAGCCAATGAACTAATTTACAAAATCATGTTACCTATGTTACTATGTGCTTTTACTACAAAAGAAACTCAAAAATTGATAGTTTACATTTTTAAAAAATCATCAGTTCTACAAAAGCTGAATTTAAAATTGCCATTTCATGAGAAAATTATAGCTAAAACTATTTAATTTTGCCATTTCATGAGAAAATTATACCTAAAACTATTTAATTTTGCCCAGCAGAAGATAGATTCTCATAAATTTGTTAAATTCATTAACTGTTAAATGAATGAGCAAATATAAATCTGTTTAAGAAAAATAAAATGTGGTTGGGTGTGGTAGCTCACGCTTGTAATCACAGAAATTTGGGAGGCCAAGGTGGGAGGATCACTTGAACCAAGGAGTTTGAGAACAGTCTAGGCAACATAGCAAGACCTCGTCTCTACAAGAAGTCAAAAAATGAGCTGGGAGTGGTGGCACGTGCCTGTAGTCCCAGCTACTCAGGAGTCTGAGGCAAGAGGATTGAGTTCAGAAAGTCGAGGTTAGAGGAAGCTGTGAATGTGCCACTGCACTTCAGTCTGGGCAATAAAGTGAGACCCTGACTTAAAAAAAAGAAAATGTAACTATTTTCATCAGTGTTATTACAAAATAAATCACTGAAAGTAAAAGTTAATTTCTAGTTTATATATTTCTATATTGTTTGAATTGTTTTTGCATTTAACATTACTTTTAAAAATTTTAAAAAGATAAATTCGGCCTGGCATGGTGGCTCAAGCCTATAATCTCAGCAGTTTGGGAGGCCGAGGTGAGGGGATTGCCTGAGCCCACGGGTTCGAGAATAGCTGGGGCAACTTGGTGAAACCTCATCTCTACAATAAATAAAAAAATTAGCCAGGTGTGGTGGTGTGCACCTGTAGTTCCGGTTACTTGGAAGGCTGAGGTGGAAGGATCACCAGAGCTCAGCAGGTTGATGCTGGGGAGGCCATGAGCATGCCACTGCATTCCAGTCTGGGCAACAGAGTGAGACTCCAATTAAAAAAAAAAGTAAAAAATATAAAAATAAAAAGATAAATCCATTACAAATTAAGATATATAATGAGAAAGAAAAGAAAAATGTGTAGCTACTTGAAGAGAAACAATGGCTTTACACAAATCAGTGACTTGTGTAAAGCTAAGAATTGATTAAATCTTTGCTTTGAAGTTCAGTTATCAGTAAGATGTAAATTATAATTATACAATTCATATAAAAAGATTAGAAACAAAAATATAAAAGTTATCCAGTTGTATCATGGGTACACAGAAACTGTTTTTCTAATCTTGGGACTATGTATATATAGTCCTTATTTTATTAAGTGTTCTGTAATGCTACATAACTTTCAAATTTATGTGTTATATATGTTTTACTCTGTCTTAACTTACTCTGAACTTCTCTGGTGACATCAAAAGCCTTGTTACTGGACCAGCTTCCAAAAAGAATTTATGCAAAATTTTTTCAGTAAAAATATCCCACAAGATGACACAGGAGTCTCGGTCCCCAGACACCATCCAACTTTGGTCTAATTTTGAAGACAGACCATGTGGGTAAAGTAAGCAAGTGACACTTTGGTGATGGCCTTTAAGAACTTTGTGAGGAGAGGAATCTGGAAAACAATCAAACACCAAATAATACAGATATTATTTTTGTTCAAGATATAGTCTTGAGATTTTATTTTATAAATTTTTAACATAAGGAAACTACATATAATTAAAGCATGCCCTTGGCTAGGAAAAGTAGCAAACAATCCGTTAGATTATATTAAAAGATAAATGCCTCATGGAAGCCAGATTATGCTTTTGATGAAGCACTAAAGTTGATTGTTCAAAGTGTATTATAATTTCTCTAAGGACATTAGAAAGTTACCAATTCCAGTGCCATGAAATAGTAAACATTGTTCTAACAGTGAACAATTCATACATTTTTCCTCCATAAAAAGCAGTTCAAAATATCACTGCTGTTATTTAAATTAGCATGACTAAGTCAAGTACACAAGAACAGCAACACTTCACAGAATATTTTTGCTTTGAAAGATGTCAGAGGTAATCTAGTTCCATCTCTTTGCTTTACAGATAAAGTATCTGAGCTCAAAAAGGTTAAGCAACTTGCATCCAAGTGTGATAAAGCAAAGCATAATATTTAAGAACATAGCTTTGCTGTTTAAAAAATAAAATCTGTTTTTTTATTCCCTTGGGTCTATCACTTATTCTATGTGTCACCATGAAGGTTAAAATTTGGGATAATAATAGTGCTTACTTCAGACAAGACTATTTTGTGGAATAAATAAGATAATATCCATAATTTTTTTTAGCACTCTGCTTTGTTTTTGGTAAGCACATTTCAAATCATAGCTGTACAAGAATGCAGGGCTACTGACACATTACTGTATTGCGGGGTTGCTCTTCCCACTAACCACACTGCTTCTTCATCACTAGCAAAACTTCTCAAAATTGGAGAGCTCCATAAACCACAAACTCTCTTTATTTAAATTGAAAATAAATTCCAAAGAACCATAATTCTACTTCAGTTATGTCTAGTCCATCAGGCACATCCTCACTTTTTATCTCCTAACAAACCATGATGAATGTCAACTCAGATGCTACAAGTCAAATGCAGGTTTCTGCTTGTTTGCTGAATATTAGGATAAATCAACCTAGTTAAAAAATGCTCGGTGTTAGCTTTTGCACTAACTTTAACAGCAGCCATTTAGCTGTATACCAGTACATTACCTCTGCCTGGCTCATTGCCATTTACTCCCCTACTTCAGTCACTGAGGCACAAATCAGTAACATTTAGTAAGTAGCCAAAGTAAGCTGAGAACAATAGTAGGCAACGTAAGAAGATTTTTTAAAATTGAGATTTAGCCTTTACTCTTAAGGGTCTTATACTTTAATAGGACTCATATAATTTTTAAAAAGTTATACCAATTTTATCTACATACTCTAAAATTGCAATATCTTCCTATATTTTCTTACTTTACATAAGACAACTTACTGCTTAATGGTCGTTATTTAATAGGTATTTGTTGCTATAAGTACAAAGATGTATTAGAACACATATTTCATTAGCAAAGAAATAAAAATTAGAACAGGAAGACAGTATTTTTCTCCAGATTAACAGAAATTTAAAAAATTAATAACACACAAAGTCAGTAAAGTTTGGGAAGAAAAGGATTTTCATAGGCCATGAAAGTTCTTTACAGGACATTTTAGGCATATTTTCAAAATTAAAAATACAAACAAACGTTAATCCAGTCATTCTGCTCTTAGGAATTAATACTACAGATATACCCACAGATATGTATAAAGATAAGCCATTTTGCATTGACCATGGTAGCTAAAGATTTGGAAACCTACACGACAATATGAGAGTAAATTAAAATTTGATTATTATTAATCATTTAAAGTGAGCTCATAAAGAATAAACTCCACAATATTTTATTAAGATTTGTTTAAGGGCATTTTAGTAAAGTATGTAGAGTAGGTTTCTATTTGTGCAATATAGTAAAAAGAATGTACATTGCTCTGCTAATATGTGCTTGTATATGCATAGAAAATTTCAACAAGGGTGTGAAGAAACTATTATTAGCAGTTGCCTTTGGTGAAGGGAACTGGAAGATCAAGTAAAAGCAAAAAGTTATTTCTCATTGTATAACCTGCTGCTTAAGCTTTTTAAAAAACCTATATACGTGCTTTAGTTTAACATTAAAATATGTACAAATTTATCAGCAAATGCCTACAAATTCTTTGGGCCTTTAAACCTTCTTTACTGCAACGTGTCGAAACTGCAACTTAAATAGAGCAAATAAAGAGAGTCAAATGAAATTCAACAACCTTTTAACAAAGAACCACCTTCTAGAAGTCCTGCTTTGGCAGCATTCAAAGCCTGTGTAATGATAATTGTCCCATCTTCACAGCCACATATTAGTTTATCAAGACTTGGAACATATTCTGATGAAGTGACTACAGCAGTTTCTGTCCCGTCTTTAACCCCACAAAAATGGTCAGTAAGACTTTGTGACACAGTATGATGCTTATCAAAATTATCTTGAAGAGTCCAGGTAGTAGTTATTGGTATCTCTAAAAGGAAAACACATGTGAAAAGATAACTTGGTTTATGAATTCATCATGGATACAGAAAATATTATCAAGACATCCCTCATTCAAAAACATGAATATAGTACAACAGCCTACCCATATTCATATCGCCAGCATTCATCCTTTGTTATGTTCGGTTGATGCTAATTTGAATCATATTTGTTATACTATTGTAGAAGATCTATAAACTTCCTGTTTATTCCTACTTTTATGTGTGCATCTAATACATAACAGTACATACACACACAAAAATGTTCTTGTTTGTAGCCCCATGTTACTCATTTTAGAAGGACACTGAGTTAATTAGAAATCAGTTCACAAAAGACTTGTGATTAGAAATGGAAGCTGTCTTACCTCTAGGAGAACCATCAAACTTGGATACAGGAACATCAGGGATGTGCCACAAAGTAATTCTTCCTGAGACATCTCCAGAGAACAGTACCTTATAAAAAGGTTCTTTCCTTTCATTCATGTAGCCCATAACAAATGGAAAACTCTGCTTTGAAACAAAAAGCGAGTTATGTAGGAAATTTCTACCTATAGAGAGATGGGTACTGTTTTTAAATGGAGAAAAAAGAATTAATCGCAGAAATAAATATTTTCAACTTATTTCCCACTATTTCAAAATTATCAAGTAGGACAAAACAGTCTTCATAAAACAAAAAGTAAAGTCATAGACTTCAGAGAGTTAATGAGTACCTAACATTTGCTGACCATGTTATGTATATATGTGCACATACGCTATGTGTACACATTACTCCAAGGGGTTTTACACATATTCAGTTAAATAATCCTCACAGTAATCCAGTGAAATTCGTACTCTCATTGTCTTTATTTTATAGACAAGTAAAATGGAAGTGAAGAGGTTGATTTATCTAAGGTGATTGAAACAGCAGTGGGCTTTGAGTCCAGTAATTCTGACTCAGGAGCCAATATCTTGATGATAATACTGTCCCCCAAGAAAACCTCATTTATTTACTGTTCCTTCAGTTCCCATTGTCAGTTAAAATAACAACTAATATTTGTGTGGCAATTTTGTGTTACTAATACGCTTTGCACTTTCTGTTGACTATTTTTCAGATTAACATATTTGGTCTCAAATGTCTCAAGTGACCGCAAGGAAAATTATTCCATAATTTATAACATATATATAATGTATTATACATTATATATTATATATAATATTATATATTATGTATATAAATTAGATACACATGTATAATTTATAATTTTACTGAGGCAGAGAGGCAGAGTATGAAGATCAGGCACAGTGCTCTTAAAGCTATGCCTTCACTAGGGAATGCATCTAGAGTCTCCCCTAATACCTCAGAGCAGGGTAGTTGTTCTTTGGACAGGCTTGTATATGGAGATTATGCACAAGGGATCAAAATGATTAAGTGATTACAAAAACAAAAACCTCTTTTGATGTACAAATAAAAGGCATCCTGAAAAGAAAGCCAACTGCCAGTGCTAGAATTAAAGAAGTCAAGGAAAGTGACGGTTCCTAGTCAGATAATACATGCTTTCAGCCCTGGATTTAGACATATTAGTGGGAAAATTCTATAATACATTTTTAGAGGCTCTTAAGGGCAAAACACTACTACATTTAATTCTCACAACAAAAATATGTAGTAGGTAAATATTGTTATTATCATGCTATGAAGATAAGAAAACTAAGACAGAAAATAATAAATAATTACAAGGCCATACAACCAAGATATATAATTCTCTGTAGTCCAAGAAATGAGTGCATCACAGATGGTTCCAATGAAGTCAGTTATCTAAATGAATCTTTTTTTAGACTTAAATGAACTTTGGGCTCTTACATATCTCACAGTCATAATATTAGAAGTGATACTGATAAAATTTGATTAAATTGGCTATTCAAACTCTCCCAACCTTAGAGCCGTTATTCCAATTCTCTTGTTATTTATATCTGAAAATGAGGCTCTGAGACGCTGATGGGCTACTGATGTTGATGGCAGTACATCTCCTCCCAGCTCAGTGTTCTGCCCCTGCAGCTGAAGTTCCCTGTGGTTATCATCCCCTCTGCCCTCACCTTCCACACTGCCTCTTCTCATTGGTCACCTTTGACGACTCATTTCTTTTCCCCAATAGTTTCCTTTCTAGTTCTGTGATTCACCTGAAAACCCCCTCACAGTCCCTTACCCTATGAGTTCTGGTTTTTTATCACAGTACCTGGTACTGATCACAGGGAACACCAGGAGGCAATAAAACAGTCATTAAGAGTGAGATCTTGGCTGGGCGCGGTGGCTCAGTCTGTAATTCCAGAGCTTTGGGAGGCTGAGGTGAGAGGATTGCCTGAGCCTGGGATTCGAGACCAGTCTGGGCAACTTGGGTGATACCCCATCTCTACAATAAATCACAAAGATCTAGCCGGGCATGGTGATGTGCATCTGCAGTTCCAGCTACTTGGAAGGCTGAGGCTGAAGGATTGCCTGGGTTCAAATCTTGAAATTAACCTCTCTAAGCATCAGTTTTTAGTTCGTGCACTTATATTCCTTATTTGCAATCTTTGGACTGTTTCTGTCCCGTCTACTTCCACCTTAGCACAGCAGCCTTACTACACAACTGAGACCCTGGAAAGCCCAGTTCCTCATCTCAATAGTCAGGACCTCTGCCACATGCCTCAGGAATTACCAGGCTTGATTTGAAGTCAGGGGACACTCATACAGCTGCTGGAAAGAAGGACAAATCCCCATTCTGACTACTGTAACTCTATCAGCAGATGTTCACAGCGTGTTTACAAATGGTAATTCTGAGAACATGTTACTGTCAAACTTTGAGATTTAATTCTATGGTAAAACTCTGAAAAATGAGTCTGACCAATACAAAGCATCCTTTTCTAAGCTCACTGAATGTGTCAAATTCATCTCCTCACCCTACCACAATGCTTTTGTTACCTACCAGGTACAAGAGAGACTAGAGACTCATGTTTAGTGAATGTTGGTGATATTGGAATAAGGGGACGAATATCTGATTGCAATTTATTCCCTGGATTATAATAATAATAACAATGTATTCCTTAGCAAAAAAGGGTGTAAGGATAGGTAGACCAGCTTTTTTCAGTTTCAGATTATTCTATTCATATTTCAGTGACTTCTAGGCACTTTCCACTTTAAAGATACAGAAACAATTATGGTGGTCTAAACAAGAATTATTGGTAGAAGACCTATAAGTTTATTTCTTCATATTTTGAGAAACAAAACAAGGTAAATCCTCTTCACATTTTGAGAAACAAAACAAGGTAAATCCTCATAAAATTAGAATTTTGAAGTTATTTTTAACATCGTTATACTTTTTCCTCATGGTTATGTACAACATTGATAAATGAAGTAACTAGAAGTTCCTGAAGGGCACAACTTATATTTGGCTTTTAGGGAAAACTGTGCTTCGTAAAAATGCATTTTGAAGCTAATGAGGAAGAATGAGCAGACCCTTTAAAAAAATAACTCAATATGCCTTTCTGAGTAAGCTACAGTATTGCTTCTGTGATTAACAGCAAAACAAGGCCCTATTCCTGCCCCAAAACAATTTTAGAAATAGCTCTTGATACATGCCATAATTATAAAGGTTGCCTATGCTCCAGTGGCACTTGAGGTTCTAGTTTTTGGTTGACAACTTCTTAATCAAGTTTTGTGACAAAACCTCACTGATATGTTAAAGGGATAATCACTAAACTACAGGATTTCCAACAGCTATGTTGCCTAATTAAGCGAACCATCATTCTGTTAAAAGTAGCATGCTTTCTTGGTTGACACATCAATAATTCAAAACTCTTCCACTCTCCACGACATAACTTTCTAGATAATTAACTGGTCACAAAGTCCAAAGGTTTAAAAAACAAACACTGTGGGTAAGTAACACTATTGAAATAAAATAACTGCCTAAATTTTCAGGCTCCCTGCACTGTCATAGGTATAATTTAGTCATATAAGAATCTCACAGTTATATTCTCAACTCTCTACCAGGGAAATCATAATTACATTTGATTTAACAAGACAGTTTGTTCATAAGGATAGCTAAATTCATGTGAAAAATATCTCAATATATGGTTAGATAAAAATGATCAAGATATAAAACCATAAAGTTTAAAAATTAAAGTTGATACATCAAGATGTAAACAATGTTTTGTTAAGCCATCTAGCAAAAGGGTCAGCAAAAAAAAATGTGTGGTGTGTGCGTATATGTCTATATGTACATATATGTATATATATAAATGCATACATAAAGACAAAATAAATGTGGGAAATGATAACAATTAGTGAATCGAGGTAGAACACATAAGAGTAATTATTGTACTATTTGATACCTTTCCAAGTATTTGAAATTTTTCCAATAAAACTAAGTAAATACATAAAACAATTTTTAAAATATTCACAGTGAATATTTACTATGGTAAAACTAGATGTTTTAATTCCTTTGGTTTTTTTCAGCATTTATAATTTTTCTATATTAAGTATGTATATATTGTTACAAACTCAAAGACTTAAAAATTATAGATTTTTAAAGATAAAGTTTTCTCTTCAAGAGCCATTAACAATTAAACTTGATTTTCTTGTTAACAACTTGATGTGATGCTTCGATTCAATTTTTTCAAGACTGACTCTGTAACAGACAAAGCAACATTTATCTAAGAAAGGGAGTGAAACAGCTTTGAGGCAGTCACTCTTTTCTTGCATTACCTTATTTTCCTGCACAGAAGTAGAGCACAGTAAATGAGGATAAATGGTCTCTTTAAGCACTCGTCCATCAGCAGGGTATATGCTTTTTGAAAGCCCACTGCGTGGCAAAAATAAAAAGCAAAGTTTAGAACTTTGGGGCTCTTTATTCTTTTTTCCCCTCCTCCCACTTTCAAAAGCCGGATGGTACCATTCAAGTTTCTAAACTCTAGTTAGAAATTGTTGGGTTAATAATTACAAGTGACTTTTTGAAAACCCAGCACCAGCTGTACAAGTTATACATGGTTAATCTCATTCCTTCATCCCCTGCTGTTTTATACAAAGGCTGAAGCCTACCAAGCCCAGAGTAAATCTTCTAGTGCCAAAGTTGTTTTGTTCTGGTTTTTGATCATGGGCAGCATGCAGGGATTTTTCCATAATAAACCTCCCAAAGTTCATTTTCTACCTGAATGTTTTGTATGCCGCTCCCATCTGAGCCCACCTGTTCAGCAGCTGATAGATATAACTGTGACCATCTTCTGTCCAGATGAGGAGTCTGTGAGCAGCAATCACCTCTCCACCCGCAAAGAACTGCCCATTTCTACTAACTTCAGTCAGCAGAAGGGAAAAATCACAATAATCATAAACCTAAAGTACAAAATTGATGCACATTAACAAAAATTTACACTCTGAACTGCCAATGAGACCAGATAAGTTATGCTTACCAAGACTATTTAGAGAATAGTGATAATGTAACAGCATAGTGAACATGAATACCAGACCATATTATAGTCATATATCAAGATATTTTACTAGCACTTATTTTCTCTCATTTATCCTAGGATAGGTTTTAGTGGATAAAGTTTATCTGGTTATATTACTCCAGAATATGCTCATTAAACACGGAAACCAAAAATCCCAAATGCTTAAATAATTTTATTATTTCCATATAGATAGTACAAGTTTAACATCTGAATATTTATTATACACACATATAAATCTATAGCAGAATATAACAGAAATCTTTTTTTAGACAATATACTTGAAATCTTTGTTTAAAAATATATTATAACCATGCAAGTAAGACGAGTAAAACTATAGCTTTGTTAACTAAGCCATTTTTATGAAATATTAAGGAAAAAGGATGCTATCAAATGATGGCCACTTAGCTTTACTTTCTTCTTGGAAATGTCAATAAACATATTCACAAGGAAAAATAATATTATACTCTCTAAAAAAAACCCCACTGAGTGACAAAACATAAAAACATCTAAAAATAAATCTATGTAGGCAAAAAGTATTATTATTATTATTTTTAGTTCTAAAGTGCAGTCACCAACTTTTTAGAATAATTTAGAGATAAATACTCATTATTATTATGATGTGTTAATGAAGTTAGGACACATTACTACATAAATAATATTTTCGGGGTACAAAACTGCTGAATGCAGGGAGTTAAAAACTGATACATCAGTCAAAAAGCCACATCATTCCATGTTCTGGTAATACTATTATAGACAGTTTGTATCATATTTAAGTCATGTTCTTATCATTGTTGCACTAAAAAAAAAGCAAAAAACAAATTACATTTGTACATCACTGGTAGTAATTATGTTATTTTGTACCTTCCAACATTTAGAAAATACCACCAATAGAAGTCTCTCTGTGTATGTGCAAAAACGTATTGTTTGGCAGTTCAAGGACTCGAGAAACTTGGATTCCTTTTCATAGACATCTTGCTTTTCCTTCAAAATGAAAGAAAACATTTTAGTACTAGTTGTGGGTAATTTGTATGCAACCATGAGAAGACCTGCTCCTCATACACCTGATATAGATCACACCATTATAAAATGAATAATACTCAAGTTTCTTTGAGTGTTTTGAACTAAGAAGTTACTTTGCAGTAGAAGCTGTGAGCAGAAATTTCACTTGGATTCAAGGATTCATTACATGCAATCATTCAACAAACATTCTGTGGGGAACTATACTGGGTGCTGAGAATATAAAGATAAAAATAAGTTACAGACTTTCAGACATGGCAGAAAGATCAAACAAAAAACAGTAAAATGATGACTAAAAGCATCCCTACAGTATTTTAATTGCTAAAAAAATGACAAAGTACTTTGAAAAGACAGAAAAGTAGCTAACGTGGACACACAAAATACTATGTTTCCAATAAATTTCTAATAATGCTGTACGTGTACTTGAGCTCAGCATGCCAACACAGTGTCTAGGGTTCTTTAATTCCTAAAGGGATCCAGAGCTCCTTGGGGAATCCTAAATAATTTTCGTCACCAACACAAATACTATGGCTATTTTTTTGTCCATTTCCTCAACTAGTATTTTGACGCCATGGAGCAGGTAAATGTATGGACTCCCAGGAAACATGCCCCCAAGTTGTACATAGTCATCTCCCTGCCACTGCTCACATTTACCCAGAACAAAGGAGCTCTTGTTTTGTAAAGAAAAAGAGATATTATGCTATGATTTTTTAAAAATTAAAGATGTAATCTGTGTATGTGTGTGTGTCTATATGTAGCTAAAAACATTAGTCTGTGCATAGAGAAAAAGTTGGAAGAATAAATGTAGCGCTGTTCATCCCTAGGAAGAAAGATAGGGGGAAGTATATGGAGGTAAAATGTATATACTTCTCTATTACTTGAACTTTTAACAATGATCATGTGATATTCCTATAATCATAAAATTTCAATAACTATGTTTGAAATTGGAGAGAAAAGAGTAGTTTTCAAACCAACCTGAATGCTGTTGATAGACAAGGAGAGATCCCATACTTTCAGTTCACCGGCTACTGATACCACCAAGAGAGAATCTTCTGTAAGAAAAACAAAGGTCACCTATAATCTGATCACTGATAGAACTAGCTGCTTTAAAAGATAATTTCATAGTCATTTAAGGATTAAGCAGGGCTGTGTTGGTGGAAAATATTTAATTTGGAGGGTTTTTTGAAATAAATAAGAGTAAAGATTTTATATCATGTTCCAAGTTTAAGATTTCAAAGTGATCATGTGTGTAAGAAGAGCACCACTGAAAGTAAAGCCGCCTTGCAAAGCACCATGTTGGTAATATTAAAGCTTCCTATTTCAGAAATAAGTAAGGAGCCAATTTCCACTTTCCTGTATAGTCACTCATTACAGAAACTGAATTCTTCCCACAACTATATCCAGAAGATACAGCAGGGTGAAATCCAAGAGTCCTTCTAATCCACAACAAAAACCTGCTTGTCTCTCTTAAAATGTACCAAGCAGAACTGGGTCGTGGAAACACAGATTCTTTCCTCTTTCCATTTCATCTTAACCTTTGCTGACTTTCCAAGGACTTGAATCATTGGTACGAGTGATCTCAGTTTTCTTTGATCTAGTTTATGGAGTTGTCCTCATTCACAGGTAAATATAAACAGGCATTCTTTATGAACTCCACCCTTGTCCAATAATTCAACAAATAAATAAAAAATAGGTATTTTTAGATGCAATTTTTCGTGTTATCCAATACCAAATAATTACCTTGAATTCTCATGGAGTGAACAATGCACATGCAGTTGATCCAATCAGGAGACAGAGATGATGTGAAAGTGTGAACAACAGCCAAAGTATTGGCATCAATTACAAGGATATCTTGATATTCTCCACAACAAAGAAGCCAGCCTTCTCCCATCATCCGGAATGAGCAGTGGTAATACTATGTAAATGGAATTCACAGTCAAAATTTAATTATCTCTAGCAATTAACATATATTTGGGTATATGCAAGACTTCTCTATATTTTAGTTTTAGTATCTGTTCAATTAAGGTATGTAACTGAATAGCAACTAAAATTACCTTTAGTTCCATTATTTCACACCCCTAAAGTATACATTTTACACTTTAGTCTTATTTGTATCTCATCATTTTTCTGGAGAAAGCGAGATCTTTCAGAAGAAGGAAAGCACACAAGTATATTATTTATAGACTGCCATTTAGAACTAAACAACACAACCCAGGTTTCTTACCCTAGCAACACTGCCACATGTTAAGAAGAAATAAAATAACTTTTGAGGATTTCTTGTGTCAAATACATTTTGGAAATGGCTTTTATTAAAGATCAAGTAATACGTTGTATCCTTAATAAACTCACTCATTATTCTGGGTTTTGGTTCCAGAAAAATGGAAAGGAGTTTGTGAATGTTGTGATGCAAGTCATCAGCACAAAAAGCAATGTGATAAAAAGTATATATATAATATGTAAATATTATATAGTCATATTATATTATATATACATATATGCATATCGTATTATATATATTGTAATATGCAAATTATATACACTTTCAGAACTAATGTCATCATGCAGCTAACTTATATATGCTTGAAGTTCACCTGCTGAAAAGTCAAGATCTACTTAAATATTGGGAAGTGATTGTAAAGGTTATAACTATGCTTCTTATTCTCTTTTTATAAGTAAGAAAATCAGAAATTAAGAAGCTATTCACTAAAAAAAAGTTACAATTAGAAATGAGGAGGAAACTCATATTACAAAATAGCACATCATTAAAAATGAATATTTACACACGTGCACATGTGTGTGTGTGTTTTGTGCCATTAAGGAAATACATGGAAATTGCCTTTCAAATGTATTGTTAGAAAGCTACAAAAATGAAAGAATCAGAAAAAAATCTAGTTGAATAATACCTTTGGGGAAATAAAAATACCAAAGTATCAGATAATTACTGACAGTAGTCTACATTCATGACTAAATAAAGATTCAAGGAAAGAACATTCTCCGAAGACACTTTTAAAAACATGTATATAGCAAATACTCTAAATGAGTTGTAGAATTCCAGAAATGCTCTGTAGGAAGTAAGTGTACTTACACAGATTGCAGTGTGCCTGTAAGGAAGTATGGCCTTCTCCACGCACTGTCCGTTCATGACATTCCAAACACACATCTCCCTAGCAGAGATAACTTTGTATTATTCTCTGTCATTTCCACTCAATTGGCTGGAATAATTTTTGTGCCACCAAGTTTTTCTTTAGTGCCGCACTTAAGTGAAGCCTGATCATTTATGTGGCTTTTTGTTACAGATTACTGGGCAAGAAAATGTTGTGGTCATTAGCAGGAATGACATACTGTATCTGTATCTTTTTGTTAGGGTAATTACACCCTGCCTCCAGCCAGCCTGTAAACCTTACTTTAGGGCCAACCTAGCCTACAACAAATTGTGGGGATACTGCTATCATGGCCTGTTAGTGACAGCACAATAATCTTTCCAAGGAAACTGAATCCTCTTGAAAATGCTTTATTTCACTGAACTTAAGCTACATATGCTAAAAAGTGTAATGCATCAAGTGCTGCATCTTCTGGAGCCAAGGTAACATTTTTGTAAAACCAAACAGTGCCACCAAGAGGCTATATTTGGTCCATCATTGATGCGGTTTATTTCTTTGCTTTGGTCTGAAATCCTGAAATCATCATTGCCACTTAATATTTAGAAAACTATTATTGTTTAGAAAACACTTACTTGGTTATAATATACACACGCACACATATGTATACACACAGACTTTATGAAGACATAGATACAGTTATAAAATACAGTTACAAAATACATCCATTGCAGGGAAATTTAAATCTACATGATTTCTGTTCTACAATAATCAGAATGACTGTTTCAGAGTTGTTCGGTAATATTCTTTAGTTTTGACAGTTTCAACACATAAGCAAAATTTTTCATGAAAGAAAAATTAAAATTTTATAGATATTAAGGACAAATATATTGGCTAATGATGCTAAATACTATATGCATTTGGTGATTTTCAGGCTTTTTTTGTTTTCCTAACCTAGCATTGGAACTCAATCTTCTAAATCAGTTTTTAAAGTATGGTGATTTTGCTTCTTCCTTCCTCCCTCCACTTTCCAAGGGCAGTTGACAATGTTGTGAGATATTTTTGGTTGTTAGAACTAGGAACTCACTACTGACATCTAGTGGGTAGAGGCCAAGGATGCTGCTAAAATCTTACAATACATGGGACCTTTCTCCATAACAAAGAATTATCCAGTCCCAAATGTCCTTAGTACTGAGGTTGAGAAGCCATATTTCAAATATAAAACGAAAATATTCAATTTTTTCCCCTCTATTCATATCTAACCTCATTCCAAAAACAATTTGCGGTAAAACTGAAAAGGCATGCAATTCTATAGAATGGGGGGAAATCTGTGTCTCTGTGTGTGTGTACTCAAAAATAAAATTGGAAGAAAAGTAGAAATTGAAATAACGCATCTCAAAGGTAAATAAACTAATAATACATCTATAAGGTAAATAATTATATTACAAAGCTACAGTAATTGAACCTTAAATAGCTAACACTTTAAAATTTTAGCTCTATAAGGGATTTGAGTTTATCACTATTGTTTTTCTCTCTAGCTATGCATCAACAATCACCTGAAGATATTTCAAAATTACCCTCAGAGATTCTAATTCCATGGCTCTGTGGTTTTAAAAAGCTCCTGGTCAGTTGACCTCCCTACATATTAGATTTATTCAACAATTAAAAAAAATACTGATGACTAAGACAATACAGGCATCAAATCAGGCTACTTGTTACATTTTCCATAATTGGTGCCTGAGCATCAGTTAAGGCTCCCCCAGTGATACTAATATATTTAAACCATCTTGGATTCCAATGCTTTCTCTGTTTGTTTGCTTATCATCTTATTTTCTATGTTAAATTGAAAAAAATGCAAAAATATCACAATGAAAAGATTGACTCTTTGCCTATCAATTATATTTAATAGAAGATAAGTTGAAAAAGTAAATTTGTGGTGTATCACAAGTAGCATTGACATTTCAGCTGGAACTGTACAAGTTACATGTGTAACAATTAGACATGAAATCTAACTATTAAGATGCATACACTCTTTGTTTTATAATACTATCCCCAAAGTTTGTACACAGCTAAGATCATCTTCAATTATAGAAAGTTAAATTTAACAAATTTCAGAAAATTTTAAATTCTTAAATTTTTATTTCAATAAAAAAGAACAACACAGAAGAAAGTATATATAATATATAAAATTGAAAATTGTAATATTTTCACCACAAGTTTCTTAAGAAATGGCCTTTTTTGTGTTATTCAACTATATATCCTTCAGAACCTCAATAAAAATTCATTAAATGGATAAATACATTATTTTCCCATATACTTTTCATCTTTCAGAAATACTATCTTCTCTTGGATTTATAGTTGTATACTTATAACACTTATTGCTTTGCTTAAATTGTAATGAAGTATCTGGAAAGAGATGAGATAAACATGAATACTCGGATTGTCATCCTAAATTGGAAGTCTATCACAATCTTCAAATTCTCTTTTCCCTTGTCTTCCATTATACTTTTTGATTTTTCTTTGGCATTCTCAGATTCCTCTTCTTCTTTTGCCTGCTTTTTAGGAATTGGTTTTTCTTAGATATTTTTGTCTCATACTTTCTTACATCCTCACATTTCATTCTATGTTTCAGTGAGTTATCTACTTCCATGACTTCAGGTAGTGTTACTAAGCTATTGGAAGCTCAGATTTTTTCACCTATGCTCTAGATCTCCATATGAAACTAGCAATTAGACATCTCCACCTGTATGACTTCACATTCCTTGTGTTCAAAATGAAACACAGTATCTTCCCTCCTTGGTTCCTGTGTCAATGAAAGGTATTGTCACTAATAAATTTCCAAGTTATTTTTGACCCACACTTCCTCTCACTGCCCCAAATGTGGGCCACTTGCTACTCCAAATATAGTCTCTGGACCAGCAATGCCTAGGTATGTGGTTGAAATGCATGTTTTAGATCCAAGTCAAGACCAACTGAATGTTTATCTTTGGGAGTGAAGCCCAGAATTCTTTATTTAAATAAACTCTGCAAATGATTCTGATGCATGCTCAGGTCTAAGGAGCATGCTGCCTTCTTTCTGGTCTTATCTCTTGCTGGCAATTTAAACTTTTATTAATAAATAATAACCCTATCAGTACCAAGACTTTTTATCTTAAAGTTTTGTTAACTATATTTATTAATATATTAATATAGCTATTAAACTTTATTTTGATTAGTATACATCGAATAATATGTAATTGAGATTACTATTTTATTCAAATGTATTTCAACTTTATCATTTTGTGCTATTTGTCTAATATTTTCCTTGATTTTTTTGCTTCCTTTGGATTAAACAACTCTTTTAAATTGTAAGTTATACTATTTCTTTCATTTTTATTTATTTTGTCTATTCTTTTAATAGCTACCCTAGAAATGTCAATATATACGTACAGCATGAAGTCTAAAGTTAATCAACATCTTTACCCACCTCTAGAATTCCAGAACATGTGGAATCCAATCACTACACTATTACATGCTATCATATATATGTGTAGGTGGGTGTATATAAACATTATGCATTATAGTCTTTTAATTTTCACCTCAAGTTTCTCTAGAAAGGGCTTTTAAAAAAATTTTCTGAAACTTTGCTGATTTTTATTTGATATTTCTTCTTCCATCTTAGGTCTTCCTTCTGAAATCATTGCTCTTCTTACTGAAAAATATCACTTAAAATTTTTCTACTTACAGAGGGTCTGATGGTAATAAACACTCTTAGTTGTTGTTTGTCTTAAAGTTTATTATTTTGCCCAAATTTTTGAGGGTATTTTTGTTGGATATATAATTCTAAGTTGACAAATATTTTCTCCCCACTTTCTGAAGTGATTTCTCTGCTTTCTGGTCTTCATCCTGCTATTGGGAAATCAGCTCTCAGTTTAATTAGCATTCTTTTGTAAATAATCTGCCATTTCCATGGTCTACTTCCAGGATCTTCTTTTTTTTCTTTTGCATTCTGTAGTTTCAACATCAGGTCTCCAATTTTTTATTTATTTTCATTATCCTGGAATTGTTTAGGATTCCTGAACCTGAGAATTTATGCCTACAAATGAAATAATACTTTGGGAAAAAATAAAAAACTAGCCATGAAGCTACTCTGAGTTCCCTCTGATAATCATGGAGGCAGAAATGCTAAGCCCACAGTCACTTCCTGGGACTCTTCAAAGCTAAAAATACATTGGTTGTCTGCACAATTATAGGGCAAGCCTAGTAAGTGTAATAACTTCCAGTGGATTAAGTTAGAATTTGCTAAATAATCCAAGGACTGCCTAAGAAGTATCTTATAGATACAGGATAAATTTCAGTGAATCCCAGAAGAAGAGAGTTCTAGAAAATTCAGAACATTTTGGCAAAGGAATACAGCTAATCAGACTCCTTGGCTCTTTAACCATCATATTTACAGGGCTCATACTGCCAAATTCATTGATTATCAAAAACGTATCCATTAACCCTAGTTTCTTTTTTGGAGCCAGACTACTATGGGCAAAAACCTCAACCTGGAACTCAGTAACTTCAAATCTTTTTCTTACTTACCTATTAAGTTTTTCTCAACTCTCCATGTAGTCCCAGAAAAAAATTCTCCATCTCTCAAATTTTCTAGATTGAGAATAAAAATCCCCACATGTGTGGCAGGCTTTGTGACAGCCCTGGTGTATGAAAGCTACTCACAAATGTTTAAAAAATGTACTAGAACATTTTACTTTAGACTCAGCCAAAGTTCAATCTCTCTAAATATAACAATTATTGCTTTACTATAATCTATGAGAATGTACCTCTTTGATATCTGTTCTACTAGCCATTTTGTTAAAACTCTTCTGTTTTACAAGTTGAACCTTGTTCCTCATTCTTTTGTTCTCAGAATTCAGAGGCATATAATTTCTCTTTGGGTTAAAAACAAATGAGAGGCTTCTCTTATTTCAACCAGCAACCCAATCCCTCATTCACAAAGTATGCTGAATCAATGCCACATTCTTGGGTATACCTTGGAAAATAACTCATCAGTAGTCTAGTTCATAGTAATTCTTCTATCATTGGGGTTTTTTCCTACAGCTAAGTTCAATTTCATGGGAGCAGGCCTCACTTCTGTAAAACTGCACCCAAATCAATGACTATGTTCTTTTCCCTTTTCTCTCCCACTATTCTACTCACATTTGAGTCCGCTCCTCTGTTAGCTTTATGATGGCATCAGACAAGGGTGCAACACAAAGATTGTAACTATTGAATTGTTTTTGTAAAACTATGAAAGCTTGAATGGTCTTTTTTTAACAACTCAAAGTGAGTGACTACATGAAAAAAGACAAGCACCTAGATTTTCTATTTTGAATTCTACAATACTAAGCATTTGTCACTATCCTTCACACAGAGTATCACAAGTGTAGATACACATATTGAAATATTTATCTTGTCACAATCCAGCAAAAAAGAGTATCGAGTGGGAAGTCACAGTATTGATTACATTCTTTGGTACCATCACACAAGTTATTCAAAACCTCACTGTCTAAATGTTCCTATATATAAAAGGCACATTTTGATCACAAAGATTTCCTTCAGAGCTAAAATTGTACCCCATCATAGTTTTTTAAATAGGAAGAGAAGTGAAGAATGGGGCAAAGTTCCACACGTCTTACCCATTTTCAGCAGCACTAACAATACAGGGCTGTTTAGAGAAGTCCCTGGCTTTTGCCAAACATGTTACCGAAGCCGAATGACCGAATAGGAGTTCTTTCGCTGAAATCTGAAAACAATGAGAGTGAGTTTTTAAATAACTGTAAACTAAAGGAAAAAAAAATAACATTATATAGTATTCATAATTCTGATTAGGAAATCCTGTTATATTATGTGTTTGCTGTACATAAGTTTCAGGAAAACTGACATATGACATATCAAAATCCTCAGAATAATGAACTTCTAAGTAGAGGAATTGTGTTGTACACATATTTTGCTTATTTTGTTTTGGTATCCATTATGAAACTTGCAAAATTGCCAGACCTGTCTTACAACATCTAGGTTGTGAATACAAATAAGTCAGTGTTGATGCTTATTATGCACAAAATGGTTCCCAAATGATAGTAGCATATTAATGTGCAGATTTCAGAATTTCAAATGAACTTACAAAATAATACAAGAGAAAGTATTACCCTTTTGAAACCATTATAATACCTTATTTGGTGATGGGAATATTAAGTTGGTACAGTCCTTGATTTTTGCATAGTCTGGAACTTTCCCTGATAATAGTTGATCAGTTGTGATGTAGGGACAAGATTAATGGGGAAATATGAGAAGTTGTTCATTTCTTCTAGTTCTATAGTTAGCCATAGAAAATGTTACGTAAAACCTTCACATGGAGTCTGTCACATTTGTACTAATCAATAACTTACTCAATAATTAATGTTTTCACAATATCTTCACAGTGAATTTCCAAAACACAAAGTTGATCTCATTTCCAACTTAAAACCCAATGACTCTCCTTGCTTAGAGGAATCAACATGAACTTCACTTGTTATCTAAACGTCTCCACAACTAGGACCCCATCTTCTTCTCTGACCTTTGCTCTATCTGATCCTTGTTCACAATAGGCTCTAGTAAAAGAGAGCTCCTTACTTTTCTCCAAGCACAGGGTGTTTCCTTAACGCAGAAAGTCCTTTTTTCTTCCACTCCTGCTGATCTAATTCTCATTCTTAGCTTGTATGTCTAACCTTGGATATCTCAATGATGGCACTCTTGGCATTTTGGATGGAAACATTCTTTATTATAAGGAGTTATCATGTGTACTATACAATGTTTATAGCATCCCTGGCCTCTACCCACTAGATACTAGTGGCATTTCTCTTCCTTCAATTGTGACAATAAAAAACACCTGCAGATATTAGCAAATATCTCTTGGGAGGGTAAAACTGCCCCCTGTTAAGAACCACCACTCTAATTCCAAGCAAAAAACTTGCTCCTAAGAGAAGCATGGCATAACTTCCCACTGAATAGGCAATGAAGACCATTCCCTACTTAGAGTACATTGTATTAATGTCCTAATTGCACCATAGTAACCTATGTTTTTCCTCTACCTTACTGCAACCTCCTGGGCAGCCAGTACCACATAATATTATTCGTGTTTGAACATGTGAATGAGAATCTGTGGCATACTGCTTAACACGGAGTAGGCACTCAAAGATGCGTGTTGAACAAATGTTGAATATATACCAGGAATATATTTTTAAAAATACAGATGCTGGAATTCCAAATTTCTTAAGTTTATAGCAACCTACATATTACTAGACAATGTACTCTGGTTAGAAAATAATACACTCCAACATTAAAAAGAGTAGCAAGACATTTTAAACCATTTAGAAGTCTGAGTTTAAACTATAATAGGAAATTAATATGAGGGCTACCATTTTCAAAGCACAACTGTTGCAATAATACCCATTCTTTCACTCAAGAGTGTTCATTAACATTGAACTGAGCTGGTCTGCTCTGCAGTTCTTAGCAGTCCTATAGTAGAACTATTCAGTGATGGGAGATGTTAATTAATTACACTATAAAATAGAATTACAATTAATTGTTAATTTAGGTTTTAAAGTGACAAACTTTAAAGGCTAAAAATAGTCCTTGATCTTTAAAAGGCTTCTTAATGAGGCCAGTATACTTTAAGTACATCATTAGTTTAAATGTTCAAATTGGATCTAAAGACTACTAGAGTTAAGCAAATATCTATTCCAATATGTTAAATGTTTATGACTTGGGACAGGGACAATTAATTGCTAATCAATGGGCCAAATCCTAGATGAGGTCAGGTTCTGAAATAGGAGGACGACAATAGTAAATTGGATTTAAAGCATTTTGATGTGATCTGTAAAAATCACAGACAAGCAGAGACTAAAAGAATAGCAAGAAGGCCAAACCAGTAGAAACACCCAGATAATTAAGATATTACTCATTTAGTTAATAGTTGTTTTCAAGAGTGCCCTTTGTTTAGATTAATGAGCCATAATTTTTAGAATTATACTTATATGTCTGTAGTTCAGTTACTTAAGCATATAATTCAGGGTATAAAATAGTAAAATTCAGTGTAGCTTAACACTCAGCTGGTAGCTAAGATGAGCAATATTCATAATATAATTTTCAAATATAATCTTAATCCATCCTATAATACTTTACTTTCTCAAAATTCAGAGACAAAGCCAATTTATTACTTTAGTAGGCATCTTTTACCAATTATGCAAAACTTTCACGGTCATTACAGGTACAATAAGCAAGTTGTGCTTATTTTGTGAGTGTCGTCTCTTTCAATATCAATACTTTTCACTAACCTTTAGTTCAGGTGAGAGATTCCAGAGACAGAGTTGACCCTCTTGACTTCCAGTCACAATTGTTCGCTGATCATCAGTGATCATGATGGCAGTGATGCTGTGGGAAGGGGCCTTTTTCCCCCAGAGTGCCACTGCTTGCAGCAAAGTTCTCATGTTGGGTGAATCCTGGACACAGAGAGCAGGGATAAAATGTGCACGATCACCTTTCTTCAATTTGGGGAAACTGATAATATCACAAAGTGGATCTATGATGACACAAACTTTAACAACATGTTCTCCCAGGGCTATGGGAAAAAGGGTACTTCCCCATCAATTAGAGGAGGAGGTAATCATCAGCCATTGGAATTACCATGCACACTGTTACTCCATCAAAGAAAAATGGCTTTTTTCCTAAATTCTGATTACTGGTGAAGAAAAAGATAGGGATAATCTATCCACGCCACACCCACTTCTTCCTACGGCGCGATCCCACCTACTCCAAACCCTGCTAGGCCTCTCAAAAACAGAGCTGTCTACACAGTATAATTCAAAGACAGCTTTGTAGACTATTCCTAGAAATATCATCTCATCTAGGTAACAAATTCCTGAAATTGCTGAATTTGCTACTAAAAAGTAAATTTTTTCCATAATACAGTGCTTCCTAATCTTCAAAATTTGATGTATGACTATCATTTCTGTCATATTCTACTTTTAATAATAATTCTATTTTACTATTTTTATATTTGGTGTCTTCATAAAATATTTTTAATAAAATCACTACCTTCACGTGTTAGGTGCAAAGGTTACGATAAATACATAATTATCAAAAGATGTTGCCTGTGACCACCCAAAATGTCACACAATGATTTGTGCATTACATCTTGTAAAACACTGAGTTCAGTGTTTTTCCTAGACGGGCATTCTTTTCTGAAATACAAATAATTTTTGGATTCAAGTTAGCAGTATATATTTAACCCCATTTAAAATGTTAAAGATAAAAGAAAAAAAAGATACCAATCATATTTCCCACACTTGCTTTGAGAAAGTCAAGAAAATGAAAACTTTCTGTTCTGCAGGATTTCTAGTACAAAAGGGCCAAAAAGGTAAATATAAATTTTAAACACTTACGGTACACATCAATCATGATATACAGTTACATTATGTACTCACACACAAAAAAATAAACATGGATGTGCATCGACACCATAAATACAAATTTTACTTGTAGTCCCCTTGTTTGGAATTCAGCACCTAATTTCCCATGGTTCACTTCTTAAGCCATTCCATCAGTCTATCTAGTCTATAATACACTTGTATTATCCTAATTGCCATATCCAAGCACCATGCAACCAAGGTTTTATAGGTAATGCTCTGAGCATTGCAATTCCAAATACCAGGATTACACATATTAAACGTATTATTAAGCTAACTGGAGAATTCTGGTTTCAATAACACTGTGACCTGAACGTGGATCTCTTGTGCTTCAAATACAGAGAAATAATGTGTTATACATATATTTCTAATTATTGTTCATGACCAAGTTAATAAATAAGCTACAAAATCCCAAGGAGTAAAAAACTAAAGGGAACCTGAAAACTAGTATAGTAGGTACTGAAGCTGAGTTAGTATGTGGCTTTTTTGGCTAAGAGTTTGAGTGTTCATCCCTATGTAAGGGCAAGAAGCAAAGCCTTCAGAAGCAGCCTTGCTTGATGAAACATGAGCCAGAAAAAAAAAAACCATTACTGCCTCAGGAAGAGGAGAAAGCTAATTTCCAAATCTTCCAAGAAAAATATCTAAGTCTAAATCACAAATGAGTTTGAAGAAAGAAAAAAAGTTATTATATAATGCCAGAATCCCTATGTGAAGAAATCCATGTAAAAAATTGTTCCCAGAGGCTTGTCAAAAACACTACAAACCTATTTAAATATCTAATGTCTTTTAGAGATCCATACTAAGTGTTAAGAAGAATGTACAGCACCTGGAACTCATACACTGATGGAAGGAGTGTACAGTGGAAAGCAATTTGGCAGAAAGCAAGTCAGTAATTGCCTGAAGATAGAAAGAAGGGACAGAGAAGAGTGAGATTAGAAGATACAGGTAAACTTGAGTGGGGGAATAAGTTCATTGTTTTAACTGTGGTAATGTTTTCATCAGTGTATACATACATCAAAACTTGTCACATTTTATACTTTAAATGCATATATGTATACACACAATTATACTGCATGTCAGTTATACTTCAATAAAATTGTTTTCTTTTTTTAAGCATCCTGAATGATATGCTTCAAAAATAAGAGGGATGAGAACAATGAAGGAGGTAGCCCTGATGTGGGGGGTTGGGGTGGGGAGTCAGAGCTGAACAGGAGGAGGAGGACATCCATTTCCAAGAACGGTCTGGCACGGACTGTTGAAGGGCAAGAAAGCTTACATGCTGTGGGACATTCAGGACCTTGTATTAGAGCGCTGGTGGAGTGAGAAGGGTTCCTGTCTGAAAGTATAATCAGATATTGTAAAAGAATACAGAGGTGAGTCTAGGGAATGTCTAAGCCATAAAATGATCAGGAGGGCATTCACACAGAGCACAAAGCAGTAGCATTTACAGAAAACTGGTTACATACAGGGTGGCTAGTCAAGTAATTAATATATTGATTATTTACAACAGGAACCATTTTTCTTATCTTTAGAAAAGAGAGAAGTATGGAAAAAAAGAAAACTAGAATGATCCCTATGGTGTTGGAGTTGAATCAGAGATAGTGGTGTAAAATAAAGGTAAGTATACACACACACACACACACACACACACACACAGACTTTCTATCTCTGTGTGTGAGCTGAAGACCTGGGAGTACCAACATTTCACATTGATTCCGGGTCTGGAGTAGGGAAAACGCAAGATGATACTGAACTATCTTATTTTATTTATTTGTTTGTTTGTTTGTTTAGAGTCAGAGTCACACTCTTTCACCCAGGCTGGAGTGCAGTGGCATGATCATGGCTGCCATGGCCTCGACCTACTGGGCTCAAGCAATCCTTCTGCCTTGCCTTCCAAGTAGCTACGGGCATGTGCCACCAAACCTGGCTAATTTTTTGATTTAAATATCCATGTTCTCAGACTGGTTTTGAACTCCTTGGTTTAGGCAATCTTCTTGTCTCACCCTCACAAAGTACTGAGATTATAGGCATGAGCCACCGCACCCAGCCCTGATCTATATTATTACTAAAACAAGGAAATGCTCAAAGAGTGAGGACATACCAAAAGGACACAGAAACCTGTTTGAAGGGGATCTCACTGGCCAAGTCATAGGCAATTTGAGAATCAAAATAAATAATGTTAGTAACAGGAGAAATAAAGGAATTAAACTTACTAGTTAAAAGACAAAGATTCTTTATTAGAATATGTCCAAGTATATTCTATTTACAAAAGATTCCTAAAGTACTAACGCAGAAAGGATGAAAATGAAGAGGTGGAAAAGAATATACCAGGAAAATCACAATAAAAGAAAATGAATGCACTATTAGACAAAATGGGCTTCAAAGCAAAACCATGATGGGGATGAGGGGATGGGGAAGAGCCACTATATAAATAAATAAATAAATAATTTATTTATGGTTAAATCATTCACCAGCAAAGGATAATAATCTCAAGGTACCCACCAGCAGAGCCTCAAAATACATAAAACACAATTTTGCATTAATACAAATAAAAGTTAGCAAATTAACTGTAGCAGAGGTTTTATATATCTCAATTAGTAATAAATGAGGATATAAAATACTTGAACCACATAATTTGCATTTGTAATATCATGGAAATGTATAAATCTTTGCACCCAGGTATTACATAAAAACACATTCAATAAAATCATGTCTATAGTATTTCTAAAACTTTGACTCTCTTAGACCATGAAACAGTCTAATGCCTCAACAAATCCCAAAGTATTAATGTCATATAAGCAACATTATCTGACCAAAACAAATAAAAATATGAAGTCAACTCCCTCCCCATCCCTATAACACACCCACAACATAAAAGTTTGAAATGCTTTCTTTCTAAATATTTGGAAACTAAAAAATGCATATTCTGAATGATCCTTAGGCTACCAAGAACACATAATAAAAATTAGATGTTATTAAGACTCAAAAGATAATAAAAACTTTGTATAATAAACTTGGCAAATGTAGGTTTTTGCATTAAAAGAGAAATTACAACTCTTTAAAAAATGTATTTATTTTAATCAATTTTTTAAAATGATATTGTGGGGTACAGTTAAGGGTTAGGTATACACATATGCTCTGTTCAGGCACCCTTGTTGATAAGAGGTGGCTCCCCGTCCCCAGACAGATATTTACTACCTTAATCCCATCTCCCTTTCCCTCTCACCCCCATAGTTTCCCACCACTGTCAGTCATTTTCTTACAGTATTACGTTGGATGTTCAAGGTCTACTATATGAGTGAGAACATGTGATACTCAGATATTTGTTTCTGTGAGAGATCACTCAGTATTATAGACTCTAGTTCCATCCAGGTTGCTGCGAAATTCATGATTTTGTTCTTTTTTATGGCTGCGTAGTATTCCATCATGTATATGTACCACATTTTTTAAATCCAGCCCTCTTTTGATGGACAGCATAGTTGCATCCAGGTTCTTGCAATTGTGAATAATGTTGTGATAAACATACGTGTGCAGGTATCTTTTTTATAGAGTGATTTGAGTTCTTCAGGGTATATTCCCAGTAGGGGGATTGTGGGGTCATACGGGAGGTCAATATTTAGAGCTTTTAGGAATTGCCATACTGTTTTCCACAGAGGTTGCACTAGTTTGCACTCCCACCAACAGTGTAGAAGTGTTCCCTTTTCACCACACCCTCTCCAGCAACTGTTATTTTTTGAGTTATTGATAATCGCCATTCTGGCTGGAGTTAGGTGGTATCTCAGTGTGATTTTGATTTGCATCTCCCTGATGATTAATGAGGTTGAACATTTTTTCATGTGTGTGTTGACAGCTCAGATGTCTTCCTTCAAGAAGTGTCTGTTGATATCTTTTGCCCATTTTATAATGGGGTTGTTTGTTTTTTTCTTTTCAGCATGTTTGAGTTCCTTGTAGATCCAAGATGTTAAGCCTTTGTCAGACCTGGAGTTGGCAAATATTTTTTCCCAGTCTGTAGGCTGTCTCCC